ACTTACAAATGAGGACAATAGAAGCAATCAAAACCAACAAAAGAGCAATAATATACAAGTGCTATATTAGTATATTATTATAGTGTTATATTTCAATTTCACAAAGAAACGTACAGTATTTTGTCCAAGCAATAATAAAAGGACGCATTTAATTTATAATTTGTCTTAAATCTCATTTTGTAAAAAAAAAAATCGTGAATCGAATCGAATCGTGAAATCAAAATCGTGAATGGAATCGAATCGTGAGTTGAGTGAATCGTTACATCCCTACATTCGATTTTTATTGACTGAACTCAAGCGCTTATTGCGATAGAAAACACTTTAACGGTGGTCTACTGCATATATCAGTATAGACACAGGTGTTTAGGTCATAATTATTTTCATGGTCCTGTTTTTTAACTCCTACCATCAGGGAGACCTACTGACCTCCTCAATCCTCTGAATAACAACGTAATGTCATCTGCTCTTAAATAATGACATTTATGCAAACATGAATGCAGATATTAAGAGAAAGCAACCGCTAGAGGCGGTGATGATCTTAATGGCTAAGCACAGCCTACTGATATCTAATCTATTGAGCACACAGCCGTGGGTGGGGCACACAGCCGTGGGTGGGTCACCCTCCCGTACCCTATACTAGTCCTGCAGAAGCCAGTAAACTACTTTACAAGAAACAATTCAGCGTGAGACTTTGACCGACACAAAGAGTGCAGTTTGGATGCATTCAGCATGCAATATGTTCAGTGTCAGAGTTCTGGGTAGCTAGGAAACTTAAATTGATAGTTCATTCAAAAATAAAAATTATGTCATCATTTGCTCACCCTCATGTATGACTTTCTTTTTTCTGTTGTACATAAAAGAAGATATTTTAAAGAATCTTGGTAACCAGTTTTGGTTCCCATTGGCTTCCATTGTATGGACCAAAAATAAATAAATAAATAAATAAAAGAATCAAAACTGTTTACTCATAAACACTTCAAAATCTCTTCTTTTATGTTACACAAAGTCATACACAAGACATATGGAGATAGCAGCATACTAGTAGAGAGAAAACCCAAAAAGACTTGTGGACTGGACAATTTTAATCATTAAACTACTGTGGCCGTGAAGTGCAAAGCAAATCACAATTCTGAAAACAAAATAACAAATTACAAACGCAAATGCAAGTCTAAAAAACAAAATAACAATTCAGAAAGCACAACAACAATTCAGAAAACATTATAACAAGTCAGAAAACACAATGACAAATCAGACAAA